AACTTGTAAATTATTTAGAGAGCCATGCGCTGTCTTCAGCTAGTACAAACACACTGCATGCAAAGACTTGCTGAAAACCAATGGAGCTCCCAAAGGGTCTCTCTCCAATGTTCAGACAGCTTGCAGCTCGCCAGTACAGCGCTGTTAAAAACAAGAAATAACACTAAGCTTACCTCCTCAGATACAAAGATTTACTCAGCCTTTCAACTCTGAAACTCTTTGCAAGTTTTTAACAAAGAGGAAGCCGCTCTATTGTCAAATCTGTACTTCACACTTAGTGATGAGAATATTAATTTGATGTCAAAAAAAACCCCAAGTGCTTTCAGTGAGACTGTGATCACAATCACCAGGGGACCCCAACTTTCAGAGGCTACACGAAACAGCACCCCTTTAAAACCATTCCAATTTAAAATAAGGGGAAAAAACATTTCTACATTTGTACGGTAATAGTTTTTATTAGAAAATAGGAGAAATTAGGGAATTCCAGATTTTACCCCCCACATGCAGACTGCCATTGGGGACAGCTTCAGATATTACTACTTAAAAAATAGAAAAAGGAAAGGGAAAAAACAACACAGATCATGTGTGTTCAACTCTAACAGGCTGCAAACAGTGCAATGTTACCTGTCTTCCATGAATCTGCTCTCTTTACCACCTGAATCTTCATTTTGGTGGAAAAAACGATTACTCAAACTAATAGCAGTTCTCCCAGATGAAAAGCAGGACCTTACTGGTTTGGGAGTGGGGGGTTTTTCCCCCCTGCTCTTCATGCTGTTTTCCTGTCATTCCACTTTTCTTGGCTCCATTTATTGCAGCCTTGCAAACAGATATATTCATTAGCAGTGATCACTCCATGCTATTTCACCACAAAAACACGGAAAATTGGACAGAATGGCATGCAAATTTATTTTCAACTGACTGATGACCTCTCCTATTTTTGTGATGCCCCCAATGCCAAAATGCCTCTGCTTCTGTTTTCGTTAATAAAATGCAAACGCCTCAAGGAGCGAACACCAGGAACATTTAGGAGGAAAAAAAAAACAGATATGCTTTCTGCATTTTTTTTTTTCCTTCCAAAGTATCCAATTCTGACACACAGCTTTAAAATGGTGAACACAGATGCTGCAGATGGAACTTTAAATTAATATGTGCCCATGCTTTCAGTGAGACAGGTCCAGAAGGCAGCCTAGCCCTCCTCAGAATTACAGCAACCTGGGGACACAAAGGTCTCCATCAAGCCCGTGGGGTCTATGATGGGCTATCTACACCTGCATCATATCTACACACAGCCTGAACTACTAGAAGGGGAGGACCAGTCTATGGAACAGTCTCTTCACACCATTTCAGAAGGAATCAAACGGAATGAATTGATGTATGTGAGTTGTCTTGCTGCCTGTGGAAGGGTTCTGGCCACCACGCTCACCTCTTACTCCAAATGGAAATCTTCCCAGGCTACCCAAGCAAACAGTGTGTGCTAAATTTAGCATTATTGACCAAGATTTAAACTAACTGGAGTTAGTGACCAGAAGACTGGTCTCAGACTCCAATGCCGGTAATTTTCTGCCCAGAGTATAGTTAGCAATAATTGCTCAGCATTCAGTGGAAAACACAATATCCTGAAGGAAAAGTCTGTGCATTTCAGACTGGTTGTCCAAAGAACAACTCTATGTTTATGACAGACAGAAAGCAGTCAGGTTGCTGAACTTTTCACTGAAAATGCATTTTTCAATATCTAGTGTGCACGAACTGTAGACTAGAATGTCCTGGGACTTAAAAAATTAATGGGCTCAAAAATATCTACGCTACCTTCATTAAGCAAAATAAATCACCGTATACAAAACTGAGAAATTTGATAAAGCCAGAGATAAGGTCTTTAGGAGACAGCGAACACTAGAAAACACAGAAAATGGGAATGCACTGAGGTGCCTTCTGGGGTGAATAATAGAATTGTCTGGGCTGTTCTTGAAATACATGTTGTATACATGAAGCAGCGGTACAGAAAAAAAACAATACAAAAAATGTTTGTGAATCCTAAACCCAAGAAGAGACCTGAGTTAGTCAACCAGAACTAGAACAGAATAGGCAGTGGACAGCCTCAATAACTCAATAATGAGTCCGCTTTGAATAAGCTGGGTTTTGAGTCTTTTTATGACACCACAGTGTACCCTGTTGGCACATCTTAAATGACTAACTGCATGCAATCAATGGTGTCCACAAGAAGGGAAACCACACTGAGATCAGTCCCCAGGGCAAGTATTTTAAGAATATATGAGGCATGCCCTCAAGATTTTATGGCACTAGTTTCATTTTGACTAGAAATGATTTGAGTGCACGGTCTCTGTCTTTGGTTCCAGGGTATTCTGTGATAACACCACTTGCATGATTCCTTGCCCAAAGGAACAGCTAAGCTTACTTGGTTCATAACTAGAAATGCAATGAAAATGTTGAAGTTCTAATTGCTTTTCCAGTGACAGCACCGGCTGCTATTGACTAATTCTTTTCAAATGTGATTTTCTTGAAATTAAATGTAGTCAATAATAGTGTGAGAATCTTTTCTCTGTATTAACCTGGTTGTAACTCTGTAGCAAGACAGAGAGGATTCTTTGCCCATCTTTCCTCTTCAGTACACTGTTACTTCATTTTCTCCAAGCCTCTTGTGAGAGCAGTAATGAATTCTTGTTAGTGTTTACTAATGTAAATTCATTCTTTGTTATCCCTGGGAGAGGAGGATTAGCAAAATGACAGAACTTATTATTTCTGGTATTGCTATATAATATTTATTTTTATTCAGCCTTTAATTTTGTAGTATGTCCCACCAAATAAAATCTATGTGCAGACAAGCAAAAAACTAGGGGAGAATTTTTTAGCACAACGCACAGAAATATAGTTATGATTCCCATTAACATTCAGAAGCATTGTGCAGCTTTATCCTTGCATGCTATATTAAAAAAAATAATCTATATCTGAAATAATTCCTAATTTGGAGGAAGAAAGGAATTACAACTTCAATTTCATTTTCCTGAAATGAAGGCAGCTCCCTTGGACTAAGGATGTGCATATTTTTAGGACTGGCTAAAAATTACAATCTGCAATTATTTTACTCTATTGGGAATGCTTTTGGTATCTCCTTTAAGGAACTTTAATAGTTAAGATGAAGTTTATAAAATACACAAAAAGCATTTTAGTAAAGAAAGTTCTTAAAGGACCTATCTTTGAATAAACAGGTCATCCACACTCCCATCTCAGCCATAACCGAAATTTAGAGAGTGAGGTATTTACAGGGGTTGTCCTCTATTTTAAGAGATGAGAAGAAAGTGAAATCACAGCGTACACGTAAGATTCTGAAATTCATGGATACCATGAAAAACACACAGGCCCAGAGCTTAAGATGGTCTCCACACACGCATGGATACCATGAAAAACACACAGGCCCAGATGGTCTCCACACGCAAGTTAGGCTGCACACACAAGTAGCCACGTTCAGGTCAATCAGACTATACACGTGAGGAAGTTATGTCCTTACATGAAGATCTAGGATACGTTGCAATTAATATATGCTAAGATCTCTTGCGTTTGAGTTAAAAGGCTGCTCTGATGAGCAGTATCTCTAAATCAGAAAACCCTCTCCTAGATCTCTGTGCCCATGTTACGGAGGACCCAGCTTCTCTCTTTCAGGCTGTAGAGACTCACGCTTTTCATTCCCATCATTCCCACACAAACCCCCAGTCCCAGCAATATGGTGGCTGCCACAGAAAATTAATGCATTGAACTGGTTGAGTTATTGTATTACAAATAAATGCAAGCCATCCACTAGAGATGAAGTTTAGAGTTAAAACGTATTGCCTTGTGGCTTGATAAAGTGACTGACAGAGGGATAGAATACCCAAAGCTGCAGGCTGCCAAAGGTCTTTCTGAAATGCTTAGAAAAGTACTGAATCTCTTGGTACGGTATCAAGGGAACTTCAGTTAATTTTATAGGCTCATATTTCAGATCTGTGTAATTCAGTCTCAGAATTAAGCTATTGTGCAAAAAAAGAGGACTTTCAAGCTTTCCACCTCACCAAGTGGCTTTCCTTGCCAAAAATAAAAGACAATGAAGATTGCTCTTTGCTCAGGGGGGGTTTGCTCAAAATTCTATTAATACTGAAGCTTAACTGAGATTTCTCAGTCTTCAGAAAGATTGTCTCCTTATATTTGTATCATTGGTAATTATTTGGCCTGTTGCCAGAAACAGGACTGAAAGTTCCTCTTCCAGGCCATTGTAATTTGGCAAAAGAAACATTCTTCCACCCTACTGAAATACAACTTATCCTTTAGAACTACTGATCTTCTCTGATTTTTAATACCCGCCACATACAGAGAGCTATCCTTGTGCAAGACAAGTAACAAACATGCAAGTTTAAGCTGCTGCCCTAAGGAGCTTACAGTATTTATGATTCATCTGAAATCACTGCAGAGCCTTCCAAAAGCAAAGTATGCTTAGATGTTCTTTGTGGTAGTCCCCTCCCACAACTAAAAATGCTGATAGAAATGAAGTGCAAAGAAACTTTAAGTTTAAAATATTTGCGTGAAAATAATCTTCAGTAGCATTCTAAAAGTCAAAATCCACATATAAAACCAGAGTCTTTATTATAGCCCCCAAGAAATAAAAATGAAACACAATATTGTGCTTTAAATAACACTTTAAACATTTAAAAATTATCATCTATATCAGAATTCTGATTTTGATTTAGAGATAAAAACATGCCATTCAAATTTTGGAACGTGTACAAGAAACCTGAATTTCACTGGAAAGTATTTGCTTTGAAGATATCGAAGAGATTAGAAATCTAACTTCTGTTACACAGTGCTACAAATCACACATAACGAATGGAATTAATCAACTTCCAGGTTACTCTCAGGTAACTCAGATTAGAATCTGACCAAGAAAAATTCACTCGCAATTTATTTTTTGCCACAAATTTGTAACCACAGTGTAATGAGACAACAACATGCCTTACCTGGGTATCCATTGTCAATATAAGGCTTAACGAGTTCTCCAAGTTTCGTCTTGTCTGCAATAGCTTCCTTTAGCAGTTGCCCACAGCAAACTAACAGGAAGAACAAAAAAGACACAAGGTTAAATTTTAAAAAGGAAGCAACAAAGAAAAGAAAAAAAAACCCAGAAGCCACATACTAGAATAAGGTCACTGAATAAAACAAAACTTGTAGGTTTTTGGGTTAGGATTTTTTTTTTATTTTGGCCAAGCAGAACAAAAAGCAAAGAGACTGAGCAGGGGAGAATACTGAATAAAAAAGAATACATTTGGCAAAGAACATATTAAAAACCGAGATAGAGAGAAAGATATTAATCAAATATGTTTCTGAAATAATAACTCAAGGGATTGCTAGTAGTTTTCACTTTTTATAA